CATAATCGCCGGGCCCCCATGTCTCGTGTGGGCCCCCTCTAGCCCATTGTTTCGGAGGCAAACCTGAGACCTGGGACAAACCTGATAACATATGCAACCTCAGCGCGAAAGACTTGCTTCGTGAGAATGCTGCATCACAAGCCAGAGTCAAATCAAACTTCCAAGTCGGTCTCAACATGGATTCACATTTGTCTTTGCCTTAGCCACATAGCCATTGGTAGCTCTGGTCTTAGCTTTTGGCTTCTGGTCTTCTTGCCTCATCTGTCAAATGAGGTCGTATTACAAGCAACTTGCACGGCTGCTTCCGGCTCTTCTGTGCAAACCTTGTTGCAACTCCATCACAAATCGCCATAGGCGCCGATGTTCACCATCCGACAGCAAAGCGACAGGACGCAACAAGTTGTCGAAGTCCTGCAGTTGAATGGGAGGACTTCGGCGTCCTGTGCAAATGCCAACCAAGAAGCAGTATCAGTATGAATGAATCTGAATGGGGACACCTGTCTCAGCCTTTTTGCATCTCTGCGCGTCCTCACGGGTGAGGTTCTTCTGCTGCAGTTGAGGGACAGTGAAGGCTTGCAAAGCGTCTTGAAGCTCATGAGCCCGATTCCCCAGGCCCAGTCGGCCAAGTGCCTGACAGTCCCAGCTTGAGCAGTGAAGCTGTTCAAGAGTACCGAAATCACATTCAATCATGTGTTTCTTTGCAATCCTAATTGGCCACAAAATCATTTCACGACAAAATCCTGCTCCCGAAAACACTCATATGGATCCAACGCCGTTGATGCACATTGTGAGGCGCTGTACATGTTTCCTACCCATCCTTTCAACGAATCAACGGCCCACAAAAGAATCCGTCGACCGATACCGAACGATCACTGTCCTTGGTTAGAGCTTCGCCAGGCTCACAGCTCTCAAGTACCTGTGGGAATGGCTCAGTACAGTGGGATCTCCGTCACTATTGGTCCATTAATAATTATGAATTATGGCAAACCATGAAGTTGGGATGATACATGATGCATGTGACGAATTCTCTGTTGCCGTTTGACACAGCTTATTGCAGGAAGACTTACCGCTTTTCAGAGCCGAAGGTCACCGCGTCCGGGGCCAGGACATGAGTTGTCGTGGGTTGCGGGCAAATCATGTGAAGTTCACACCCTTCAGCAACAAACAGCAAAATGTCCCAAAAAACCTGTCTTCCTCAATCTAGCCTCCCGCTCTGGAAGCAAACTTGCTCGATTTGCAAGAGTCAGTGCCTCATCACGATGACCATGTCCATGAGTCAATGCGCAAGTCTTGACGTAATTTGTCGTACACTACTGAAACAAACACAGGCATCCCTTGCATCAATTGCGCAATTTGTGCTCATTGATTCATTGATTCCCATGGTGGTTTTGTACACTCTTGTGAAGCATCAAACGTTCTTCTCCTAAAATCCCCACTTTCTACATTTAACTTGTGATTCCAAACATCCAAATTCAAGCGGGTGTCTCGAAGCACTGTCAATCGAAATCTGGGCTCTGGATCTCCCAAATCCCAACTAAAGCGCCGTACCAAAGGATGGCTGCCTCAGCCCACCAGCATTTCGCTTTTCTCAAGAGATCTCAAGAGAGTCGTTCCGTGAGACTACTAAGTTACTAATATGTTTAGTAGGACCGCAACAAACACTCTTGCTCTTGTTCACTCTTGTTTCATTTTGCTTCAACTGTCAATCTTTACAACTCTGTCTTCAGGTTTTACAACCCCTGTGTGCGAAACCTTCACCAATTGTGTGAACGCCCAGTTGCGATTTCGCACAGCCCAAGCATTGTATGAGCCTTGGGCCTGCAACTTGCCCACAAAAGCAGCCGCTGGAGCGCATGGAATGGATTCACATGTGAAGTCTTCAAGAAACACATCGTCACAAACATATCATATGTGTGCAACATAGTATATAATATTATATAATATACACATCAAATATAGATAAAACCCTTTGGCAAAACAAGCTTCTCCATCCCTGTTTGTCATGTTGATTTGAAGGCAAATACACACTCACACTCAATGGCCCTAGGATTTTACAGTGCCTTCTACCAGTACTGAGTGTACAGTGCAGATTTCTGGTGGGAGGGTATGTGTCCAAATTGAAAACATAGGCCAGTGCTACTCGGAGAACCAAGCGAATGAAGGGCCGTGCAAAGTTACAAGTCAGGTACTCCATCTTGACATTCTGAAGAGGTGTCCATCCCCATCCGAATCTGCGATCCTCGACTCCTTCAAGCACCTCCAGCATTACTTTGCCTGGCTCAGTGCCCAAATGGGTACAAATGGTGACGTGTTGAGATTGAACAGTCTCATATGTTGAGATTTGGAACACCCATCAACCTTTGCATCAATCTCGAATTCTACTCCAAACCGTAGCAGCCGAGTCATCCGGAATATGAAATCGATGCAATCAAATTTTGTCTCCACTACCATACCGATGGTCAGCCATGGTGCTTTGCATTTTTCTTTTGGGCGACGAAGCTCACGCCATCGAATTCTAAGCGCTTCAAAAGCCTTCCAGAAACTCACTCCGGCCTTTTTCAAACAGGTCCAAGATCTGCTGGGGGTCCAAATTGCAGGAATCTGGATACTCTTCAGCTTTGGACAGCGAAGCCTAGTCAAATGAGGAAAGTCAGCTCTTTTTGTGCGCCATGACGATCACCGACGACAGGCTCAAAAGACTTCCCGCAGTCTGTTTTTGGACCCCGCCTCCAGGCGCGTTTGCCGTCGCCGCGCTTGGTCCACCACTGAAGACTTCATCCAAAGGTTTGGTTCGGCACCTCGCGTCAGAAGGTACACCAAGATGTCGACCCTGAGCAAGCACCATGGGTCAACAACCCCAACCGCCAAAGCGAGGCATTGTGAAAGAATGCATTGACATGGATGAAGATTCCAACGCAAATTCAAAACACCAAAGTTTAAAGAAAGGGCCGAGACGGCCCCGGTGGGATATGCTGCTGTGGTCGGATGCGGCGGAGATAAGCTGGTACTTTTTTCAACACGTGGCTTTGCCTATCAAATATCAGTTGGCAATACTGCTCCATGAAAGCCACTGCACATATGAACATCCTGAAACAGTGCAACAACAGCATCAAATGCTCATAAAATCGAACCCTTTTGCTGATCTCAGAATTTCATGGTGCATTCCTATGGAGTCCTTACTTGAGGTGCAAATGGCTCCCACAGTTCCATTCTGCAGGCGAGGAGCTGTCCCCAAACCACTGCCATTTGCAAGGGTGTGTAGCCCTTGCAATCAGAATTCAAGGTCTTCACCCCCACCTCATCCACGAGGAAACGCAGAGTGGTGATGTTTCCAGTCATCACTGCATTGTTCCTTGGCTCTTCCATCTCTGTACTTTTGGCACTTTCCCACTCACTCCTGCTCTGGCTGCTAGCTGCTAGCCATAGATAAATAATATATATAGAGTTTACACTAGAGTTTACGTACATACCTTCGCAGGCTCACTGTAACACTGTAGCAAGGCAACCTCAACCAGGTCAATGTGTTCTCTGACAGCCATGGGGCAAGTTGATTTGAGCAGGCCAGGAGGCTCCCTAAGCTAGGAGAGCTTCACAAAGGGTCCAAAGCCTACTGACTGTGGTCTGAAGCATGTCCAACTAATCCTCCTTAGAGCAAATTCTGTTTCCTAGTGGTTCAAAGTGACGAACTAAATCGCATGCAAAACAATTGGAATTCACATTGTCCAAACGGACCTCGTTCTGTTCATACAATACCACCCATAGGGTTCCATAGGAATCCATAAGATTCTGCCCACTCTTGTTGACTTTGCAAATGTCCAAGCAAGGACGCTACTGGGGGCTCCTGGCCGTACTACTAGGAGCAATGTTCGCTACTAGTAACAAGAAGCTACCTGAGCTTCCGACCGAGGCGAAGCCCTCTTCTACTGCACCTCGGGACCATTCCAGACATGGGAAGCCCGAAGTTGAAAACAACCTAAATAATAGCAATGGCCTGAAACCTAATAGCGATAACAAAGCATGGAGTGGTAATGAGCTGTGTAGTGGGATCCCGTGATCAAAATCGAATGGCCAATCAGCTAATCTATCCTTTATCATTAATCATCTATCATCAAGTTCCACGAAAGAATTTAATGACGCTCCGCCTGCCTTTCAATTAGCATCAATTAGCTATGGCTCAACACATTGCGAACAGACCTGCAACAAAGATGATCAAACATGACAAAATTGGAGGAACAGGATGAAGGTAGATATGACAAGCATGTTCTCCACATGGGATGGAAAATAAGAATTGCCGAATTGCAGGCAAGCCTCGTTGCAGTTGCTTATAACCTTGCAAGCCACGACCCGTGAGATAGTGGATCTCCTCCCGTCGTTGTCCAATGCGCTCGGTCCGTTCCCCTATGCTCGTTGCAACTCCAGACTTGCCACAACCGTCGACCAGCAGTCAAAGACTAGTTTGGAAGCATTCTCATGGTCCCAATGCAACTTTATGAATTTGCGACCGCTGACCTCCGACTTTGTAAGGAGGCAATGGGAGACTGACTTGTTGCAGCCCACATCATGATGCCAACGACACTCCGTCACTCCGTCCTCCAGAATCTCATCATCCATTCTTCAACGCTCCAACGCTCACATAAGACTAGGCAAAGGCTCAGCAAGGAAGCCGAACAAATCATGGATCACAGTCTTCCAGTCTTCCAAGGCCTCCCCCTCTTGAAATCCAATTCTGACTACAATTGACTACAGTAATTGCAATGCTTACTACCCCGGAACCTCATAGAAGAGTGCGGAACCCTGTTAGAATGTGAGGGTGTGGCACCTTGGTGGGATGCTTGCGGCTATTCTAGAACCGGAGACTATGTTGACAGCATCACACTATTTGGCTCGAGCGTATGCTTGGGCCGTGAGAAGTCGCCGGATTTTGCCAAAAACAACGCCGAGGTTGCGCATGGCCAAGTGGCACTGAGAAACTACGAACTATGAATGGCTACTGTACGATCCTGGAGCATCTTCTCGAAGACAACTAAGTTGGCTTGCTGAAAGCTTGCTGGGCCAAATGAAAAGTCCAAACCATCCAGCCGCTCAATCACCTCAGCAAGAGTACAGATCAATCCCAAAGTGCTTCATTTTCCTACATCCAGGCGCACCATTTCCTACAAAAGCCAACCGGTTTATGCAAGTTTAGACAAACTGATGTTTTTGCTTGCTTATCTTACCTCAACATACTACTCGTATCGAAGATTGCAAAGCTCTGGGGAATTGATATCTCAGAACTTTGCACAAGAACCAAAGCACCAAAACGCAAATAATTAGTGTTAACCCAAGCGCATGAGCGGGTCGTTCTGCGCGATCTGGACGAACCTGCAAAAGACTGAGCATTCGTTCTGAACAGTACAAAGGGATATGTACCAAAGTGCATGGAATTGCGTGGCAAGGCGATGTTTGCAACATCTCCAATTCATAATTTGAATGAACCCATAACATCAAAAAAACAGCAGCTCTGAGAAGTCACGAAAGGTGGGGAGTTGTCACGTCGTTGGAACGTTGAAACGCTGGTGCCTGTTGCCATGCTTCTGGCCGCTTGGTATGCATCGCACGCATGAGGGACGGGTCTGGGTCTCGCCAGTGCACCTGCACGGGACGGCTTCGCCATCAGTGGTCCATGCCAAGGTGTTGCCTGGTATTGGCCTTGGGATCATTTATACAGTTATACACATACAAGTTTTGATTCAAAGCCAACACCAAGCAGGGCAACAAGCGCACCCAGATCGAATGCCAAAAGGCATTGTCGCTCTCATCGCATGGCCAAAGAGCATCTAGAAGCGTTTGAAGTTGCCCACTTTCCTGCAAAAGTGCAAGAGTAAAAACTTTAGTAAACTGAGCTGAGTAATTATAAATAAATATATATATATATGTATCTATCTATCTTTATATCTAATATATAACTATATACTTATATATATATTTTTGTGATTCAGAGGGATTGCAAAGAGCCGAGTCGAGTCTATGCTTTGCTACAGGTATGGTAACGTACGGTACTCCTACCATGCAACATGAATGCTTCTCATGAAAATTACTTGACTAGTATTGATTAGCCGCAATGTCCGCACTCATCAGTCGTCACCCGGCCCCACCTTCCCTTGAATGCCATTCCACACCTGAGCAATTGACATCACTGGGCAGTATACAGGCTGCAACGTAGCAATCGATCCCATCAAGCTTATTGAGATTGTGTTTCTAATGGCATTGTCCTCAAGGTTTGCGGCTGTAATTAGAGGTGAACAACTGCCGCCAAGATTCAATCACCAGCTGGACAAGACCTAGTGAATCAGGCAACCCAAACACAAACAAGTCGTGTGCACAATGCCTCGTGCGAATATCAACACGGCTTGGCCCAAAACGACATGACAAAGGCACCACTTGGGCGCTCCAAGGTGAGCTCCACATACCTCGCAGATTCCTCCTCGAAAATGCCACGTGCTGTTGCGCTGTCGTGATCAAACACTCCCACGCCCTCCGAGTTGAAGACCTTCGTAGTAGGCAACTGAAAAGGAATGTGTGATGTTTGAGTCCGGGCATCGCACAAAAAATAGTACAAGACATCACTTATGAATCTTGGGGCCATGATGCTAGCCTCCCCACACCCACACACCCACACCCCCATACCCCTCTGTCTCGCACTCTGTCTGCGCCTCCTGAAGTTGCTTGACCGCACGCATCAGGCTCGGATGGTTCACAACGCACCCAGCGAGTGGCAACACCTCATGGGAAAGGCTGGGCCGGGATGCGAAAGAGTGGCCTGTGGCCTGTGAATCCAAGAAAGAGCTCAGGGAAAGTCCCTGACTGATCAAGACAGGAAAGAACCACCACCAAACCAGCTTGGGCCCTTCAACTGGATTCGGATTGTTTGAATCCAGTTAGTCAACAGGAACATGGGATTGGCTTTTCTGAACGTCTGAAAGGGGCGGAAATGGATCTCTTTGGGATGACCAATCTCAACTTGCTTGGATCATGATCTCAGCAAACCATGAAACGGTCATGTCATCATGTCACCTGACCACTTTGGATCTCCCTGGTTTGTACCATGGTCAGGTTGATCCAAAACCCTTCTCACCTCCATCAACAGGTTGGCGTTGTTGGCACCATTGTGATGTAAATAACTGATCACTGATTAGATCTATCCACTGTAATTCTGCTGCACTGTTGGCTCAGGCCTTCCAGGTGCCTCTCTTGAAGAGGCCGATGATAACTCTCCCTTCACCAGGGCCACCAGGGCCTGGAGAATTTGACGGAATACACATCAACTATCAATGGAATCCCATCCAATCCGTCCTCTTTAGGCTTAGCACCTCGTACCTTACCGACTCAGTGTTTTCCCGTACCTTAGAACATATGTCGAAGCTCTACAAATCCAGCTGTTCATGTGAGGGCTTGTCTTGGTAAACAGGTCTTTGGGTTGGCGGGAGCTGCCTAAATTCCGTTGATCCGTTTCAAGTGGCTCCGTCTCAAAACTGCAATGTACCAAAAACATCCCAAAACATCCAATGGACCCTAAGCAAACTAAATGAGTTTGCTTCTCGCCTACTGCCATCTTGCCGCGGGTGCGATAGCCACGTGGTTCGGCTGCCCAAATCGTGGGCTCAATGTTGGCTGATTCTTTGCACCATGATGCCAAAGCTTGGGCTGCAGGATGCGATCGGAAGTAGTCCTGGACTGTGTGAAGCTGCAAGCAGCTGCACGCAGTTGCAAGACCCTAGCACAACCATTCAGGACCGGCTTTTCCTCTACCATGCGTCATGCGTCTGCTGGGATTGGACAAAGGGGATGCTTACCAGGGACCAAGAATCACTGACAACAAAAAGTTGAAGAGCAATTTATGAAACCTTCTATGTGCGCTTGAGCTTGTCAAGGTGAAACCAACTGCCCCAGAATCCAAGGTCCTCACTCGTTACGTAGGGATAAGAAGCTCCACCCCGACAACCACAGCCCCAAGAGGCGCAGGTGCTTTGTCTTTTAGGCTCCACTGACTGCCTGTCGCTTCAGGATGCAAAAGAGAGTCGAGAAGCTTGAAAGCGACCTCCGAGATTTAGATATCCAATTGCCCATAAGGTCTTGAGTGCCAAATGAAGCATTTGAATTTCAATCCGGTTTCTCCTGCTTCTTTGTTCTGTCCCACTCTCAAAGGCTAGTGCTTCGGTGACTATCGCTACTATATACTATATACAGTAGTACTAGACTAAATACAGGAATCGGGAAAACATACAAACCATCTTGCCTCACCAGCTCTTTCCATGATACGGCCGCCTTCAAACTCAGCCGTGTTCGTTTCCTCCAGATGCTGCTAGTGTATGATTTGGAAAGCTCCCTTCTGTTGCCAATTGTTCCTTCTAAAGATTAGAACACATCACATCAAAGCAACACTTGCATGATGATTTGATCAGGCTTCCAGTTAAGGCATGTCACGTGGCGTCGAACCTGTCAATGCAAATGATAAACAACCTGATGTGACCTGCAATGACCTGGAGAATCACACTAGCTCTTGAGACTGGCGAACAGGTGCCACAGCGAACCGGACCCAAACGACCCAAACCCTCCTTCTGCTGGAACAGGTGCCACAGAGTGCCAAGAATGCTGCACAGGGCTTAACCAAAATGACCTGCAAGTTGTTGTCTCGTGTTGGGCAGGTCACTTGTGTCTAATAGCTTCTTGTTATGCCAATTGTATCCAATTGTGATCTTCCAAGTACCATCGTAGGTCTGTGTTACAAGTGGCCTGGATGGGCTACACTTGTGAAGAGCTGAAAGACACGTGGTCACTTACAAGGAGCATTGCTGTGAAAAAATAGGTGAAGGTCAAGTTTGGCTTGAAGATGCTTGAAGAATCTTCATTAATCTTTTAGTAGATCTTTATTTGCATCGACAGTGACTCGACAATTGTCTGTCCAAGTTCACTAGGCTACTGAACTTCTGGGTGAGTTACAAGTAGTTACAAGTAGTAACAACATGTTACAACTCAAATCAGGACAAGAATGCTCGTATCTTATATTGTATACCTCATCAAGTCCGTCCCTCTCCGGCGGCCTTCGTGGCCTTCGCCTGTCTGGCCTCCGAGGTGCGCTGTCTGTCTGCCGGTGGATGCGGTGCACTGCGCGCCCCGCGCCAAGCATCGAGCATTGAGCGACTCGCTTTGCACCGATGTGGCGATCGGTCATGGAAGGTATCTGAAAGGTTTATTTTTTCAGCCTGGCTGCTACTAGTTACTAGGCTCCATAGGTATGTTCATAGTGTTGATATGTGGCCTGGCATGGTCCGCCCTTGTTGAGCTCATACACTTTGCTGTAGCTGTGCAACAACGGATTGATCATGCTGACGATTGGGGTGCGACAGAGTCCAAGTATTGAAACATGCCTCAGCTTCTATATCTGTCAACTGCAAGTCGGGAAACTCGCAAAAGAACAATAAACTGTATATTATAAGGGAAATAGACCCCTGAGATCCCCTGAGAGCAAACACATGCCCTTAAACTATATCGATTTCATGGATCCCAGAAGAGCCACGCTTTTCTCGCAATTTGTCTAAATCCATGGGTTTCAACACTGCTTTGGTGCTGAGTTCTCGCCCGAGGGATTCAGGGTCATCACAACCTCACTCTCAGCTCACGGGCAAAAAACACACATTAGTTTAAACATGTTTAAACATATTAAACATTGCATCCTGTTCCTGCCTCACCTAGGGCGTTCAGCCCTCGAGATGAAGCAATTTGAGAAAGTGCGTCAGATCCGAAATCACAAGCATTTTGGACTGAAGGAATTACACTAACCCTTATGGGCTATCATGTTCACTAACAAGGTTGCTAGCAAGGCCAGTTCTTGTGCTTTCGACAATCATAACGGTTGCTTCCAACCGGCAACGGCTTCTGTCATCCAAGCGGCTCGGGAGAATGACCTCAAAGCAATTTGTCTCCAAGCAACGTGGACCATTGATTTCTCAAAGCAACAGGCATCACAGCACCAGCGACTTTAATCCTTCCTTGCCCTTGCCCTGAAATGATCTCAGGTCTGGCCATTAGGCTGACAAAAGCCTCTTGCAATTGCTTTCAGCTCAACCGTCTCTTTTTGTCCTTGAAACTGCCCTGCCTTTCAAGCCAAGGGGCTTTGGCCCAAGTCTTGGACATGCTCCCAGGTGTAGTCGGCGGAGACCCCCTGAAGCACCCAAATTAGGGTCGATACAGAAATTCATGCATGACATATATATATATAGTTTAATATATAATTGTACTGTAATATATATATATATATTAGGCATGATATGTGTATGATTACATGAATTTATATATGATATTATATGCTGAGTGATTATGAGTGTGTGTGTGTGTGTCACCCCCTGTATCTAAGGGTTCCTCCTCTGTAACCAAGAGGTCTGAATGCAGGGAGATCATGCTTCCAGTGACTAACCTGATCCAACGAAGCTGGGTCACTGGAAGGGAAGTGGTTGAGGACGCTCAACCATGTACCTGCTGAGTTTTTCACAAGCTGTCACCCCAATCTTCCTTGGCTTGCTTCCATGGTGTTTTCGCACGATACCTCCCCCACAAACAGGTTTCCCACCGCAGCTTTCAGCCGCTTGTGCAGTGCGAGTGAAACAATGTTTAACACTTCAAATCACCGGACCCATTCGCCTTTCCGTTCCCTCACCTTCCTTCTCAACGTGGGAATCGAGATAACTGAATACAATTGTCAGAGTGTGTTTCGCTCAGCCGTCCCACTCGGGTGCTGAGTGTGATCCCCGTCACAGGGGCGCTGTCTCATCGTGCAAGCATTAACTGACCTCACCACTTTTCACAGGAACTCCACTGGAAGTCACTGCCACAACCACCGAATTAACTGCCACAACGGCCGCCGGGCCTTACCACGGGAACTGACAGTTTCGAAACGCTTGCAACGGCTAAGTATTCACATGTGCATGTGCTGCTAAGTATTCACAGGCCGGACGAATTAATCGTGCATTTTCCCCTCCCTACCCCTAGGCCTCCGTTGCTACCCCACCCGCTACTTGGGAAACAGAAGGAAATCGCACTCAACACACTTGTGTGTTGGTGCCTTTCCTTCTGTTTCTCCTAGCATATTGCTAGCTACCCGGGCGGTTTAAGACAAATGTCCCGCTCGCGCTCTACTTTCATTTAACTAAGTGGGCCTCGTAACTACCCCTATCTTTCTTTCTTGCCCTCTTAGTCTGCTTTTGTTTTGTTTGCTTTGTCTGTCTTTCCAAGGCTTTTTAGGTGGCTATCAGTTTTTCACAGCGCCAATATTGGCGCTTTCTGTACAAAGTTCCACCTTCAGCGTTCTACACACTTGCGCCGGAATCGGCGGTTTGTGTGTGTCACCCCCTGTATCTAAGGGTTCCTCCTCTGTAACTAAGAGTTTTGAATGCAGGGGGATCAGGCTTCCAGTGACTAACCTGATCCAACGAAGCTGGGTCACTGGAAGGGAAGTGGTTGAGGACGCTCAACCATGTACCTGCTGAGTTTTTCACAAGCTGTCACCCCAATCTTCCTTGGTTTGCTTCCATGGTGTTTTCGCACGATACCTCCCCCACAAACAGGTTTCCCACCGCAGCTTTCAGCCGCTTGTGCAGTGCGAGTGAAACAATGTTTAACACTTCAAATCACCGGACCCATTCGCCTTTCCGTTCCCTCACCTTCCTTCTCAACGTGGGAATCGAGATAACTGAATACAATTGTCAGAGTGTGTGCAATGCAAATGCCTTCTTTGCTTCTTTTCCTGGAATGGAATCTACATGACAGTTCTTTCGATTCTCTGGTCGCGCTTGGCCTCTCGATACCATTGTGTAGCTGTGCTTTTGACGCCTTTCAACCTTAGGTCTTAGGTCTGAAGTTCAAAGGGTCCTATCAGCAAGAACTAGAATTCAATATAATTCAGTCTCATAATATGTCTGTCACACTGACAACGTCTTGATGCAGCTGAAGGGGCACAGGGCATGCTGCGTGCATCGACATAAAGTCGGGATCATGCTTGTAGGCAAAGAACCTTGTCTGACAGGCAAAAACACGCATACTGTGTTCCAATACTTGCCCAAGCTATTCACTCAACCATGGCCCGACAGTTTTGCCAAGTAGCAAAAAGTCGCCCTTTGCTGGAGTGAACTTGGTGGTGTCTTTTGTAAAGATGGTGCTCCCACCTGCAAGGGGGAAAAACACGTTGCTATACGTTGCTCAAAAGTTCCTTGCAAAGCTCAAATGACCAATCTTCGCCTTGCTCTGCCACATTGCAGTAGAGCCTCAGCACTCGCTCGCATGTCCGTCCGAATCAGTGCCACGCTTTGTCCGTGCTTTGTGCCACTCTCGTTGGCAAACAACTTCGGTCTAACGGGTCTAACTTCGGTCCAATTACATCAAAACAAACCAAACACGGCCGACTTGTGCAGTTGAGCGACAATGAGGATGCCACACGGGCTCCCAAAGTCACCGGATCGTATCCACAGCCACCATCGCAATGAGGTCGATACTCCTTGGTGGTCCCTTCTGGCTCTACCGGTCCACCGCCATGTGAACGGGTCTGCAATGGGAACAATGATCAAATATGATCAGGAACCATACCACTACAAAGTATATACAACATCCATGTTGATCTACTACTAATGGCTACATGCTATTACTGTATATCATAGCAATAACCACAAGCATAATGAACTTATTATGAATGCGCTGCGGGTCATAGCCAGGCTTGTAGTGAAGCCAATTCACAGGCTCTTGTCCTTCCGGCCTTGGCATAA